AAAGAAAAAATATGTATACATAACGTTTATACTATTCAGCTAGTTAAGCCTAAGTAGGCTTAAATAGTAGGCATGTTTTTCCATGCTGTTCCCAAGTTTGGAATGAAAACTGACTGATTACAAGTATAGGTTATAATAAAATCTTTGTTCTATAGCCAATCCACATCTGTGGAATCCATGTCATGTGGACTACTACAAAAACAAGAAGAGGGATTCCACACTGACACTATTAAGAGAGCTTTTAGCTTCTGAACCCAGAATCAACATCACTTGTAAGTAGACTGTTTTATTTGGTGTGGACTAGTATATTTAGTAATACTATTGAATAATTGCACAAATTAGACCAAATTGTAATACAATAGTTTAAAATTACTGCAATTATGTTTAGAAGATGCCAGAAATAAATTATAGCCTATATCTTATCTTGCATACACAAGGCAAGTTTGTTACAGCGATAGCAGCATTTCCAAATTACATGCTTACATAAATGTATGATACAATAGGCAATATACATGTATGGTATAATATGCTATAATCTATTCAGTCATATCCCAATTATCAAACTGATCGTCTAGCAAAGTGAAAATAACAACTTTAACATTTCCATTATAATTTACAGCAAACAAGATCCTTAGCAAAAAATTAAAAAATATGAAGGATGCATACAAGAGGGAACTGTCAAAGCTGTAAAAATCAAAGTCGTATGGAGTAGGCACCAATAATGTGCACAAAAACAATTTCTGTACTTCAACCAGATGGATTACCTGAGGGACTCCATGCAGGCAGACGAAAGTGAGGATACCATCAGCCTCAGCACCTCCTTGAAAATGTAAGTGCGAACATAATGTAGGCTACATAACTGTATGGTATGATGGTGGCAACAGTATAGTTGCTTACCTAGAACACTGATTGTCTTCTTGTACCAATTATGGATGATTTGATGTACGAATATCACATTCTAATGTGTGTATTAGACATGCACACTACAACATGTAGTGTACATGTCTAATGCAGTGCTGATATTGATTTCAGGACAAGTGTAGTCAACTCATAGTTACAGAAGAAAGAGAGGACTTGATGTGCATTGAAGCAAGTGAGTTCCAAGAGCTATCTTTCACCATAAAGCAAAACATGGAACCAAATACCCCAGTGAGTAGCCATGCCTCAATGAACTCAGGAAGCCATTCAGTAACACCAATGACATCAAACAGCCAGTGGTCTAGTCCCCATCTGACGGACGATGGAGTTATAGTTGGTGGACAAGAGAATAAGAGAAAGTGACAGAAGACAGCATGTGTCATCTTCCTCTCTTCATTCCCACTCTATAAAAGGGCTGCAGACTATCTGCAAACAAACTCAGCAATTCTCCAGCATGTGTAGAACAAAATTTTGGTAACCACGTCGCCCTCAGCTTAATGAACATTAGTGAAGGCCTGTGGGAAGAAGCAAAATACGAAATATAGGGTATTTTGTTCAAATATTACAATCAATGACCAATTTGTTAAAGCAATAAATTAACATTTGTTTGGCAATGAATTAGTCTACTTTATCATATTATATGTAATAAATGTTTGTTTTATTATATTATTTTTAATGATCTCATTTGTACATAAACAATGTCTGCTACACGAAACAATATTGCCAGTATACTGCACCAACATTGGACATGAAGAATGCTTTGAAGTTCTCTCTCACAACTTTTGCTTCTGCGTTGTAAAAGTTGGAGTAGGTGGTGGCCACTTGTGGAAGATGTAGATCTGTCCTGGGCTATACAGGAATCTCACTCCTCCAGGCACCATGCACAATGATACCAGTTTCCACATCTTTTCTGTCCACATAATTGACTGGCCATGATACTGTGCTTTCATAGCTCCTTAAAAAATTGTGAAGTGCACAACCAGCAAGTGCTAATATGTGCACTTTGTCTAGTTGCAGCAGTATGGGATCCAGAAATACCTGTAATCTGTTTGTGAAAATTCCAAAAGCTGTCTCCTCTACTTGGCAGCCATGTGAAATTCTAAAAACCAATCAAAAGATACATTTAATTCAACTAGTGATCTATCAATTTTCCAAGATCACAAGTTTTTTATTATTATACCATCAATCCTTTTCCCACTGATATAATGCTTCAAGATACAGTTGTATTAGCCACTGAATGCTTACCTGTAATTGCATATCTGTTCTTCCAGAGTCAAGCCATTTCCACCATAAGGTTTGGGGATATACGGTTTCAATCCAAAAGCGTCATCGGCAAAGAAGACGTATGGAGTGGCTATGTCTTGACCTGGAAGTGGATGGGCTGGAGGCATGTCAAGAGCATTTACATCTATAAGTTCCTTCAAGTTGCATTTGTTCCACACACCTCCATTGCTGATCCTACCTTGTGAGCCAATGTCAACATATCTAGAAAATCACAAGTGCATCTCCAACAATGTTGTTGGAGATGCACTTGTTTTCTATTTTGATATACACATTGTTGTTAACAAGGCATTGGAAGTCCAGAATAGACTTGTTTCTTACCTTCTGCACATCAACTTAACAAAATGTATAATTTGCATCCACAACTGCTGAAAGGACAATGGATTCTGTTCCTTTGTAATTATGGTAATGAGAACCACTGTTGATGGCCTTCCTCATCACAATGTGCTTCCCATCAATGGCCCCAGACAATGGGGCACATTCCACCAATCTTGAAAGTGCTTGGAAATAGCCATTCAATGTTCTTTTGAGGTTGTCACTTGAAATGTACATTTCAAGGTATTGTACAAAGCTGCACCATGTTTCCATGATTATGTAGGATATGGTTCTTTCACCAATTCTGAACTCCCATGATAAATTTCTAAATGTAATTCCTGTGGCTAGGAACTAGGGTGTAACAGTGAGTCTCTCAGCAGGAGATATTGACTCCCAAAACTTTGTCCTTTGCTTCTGAATTCTGGGGGAAATTTGGTACAAAAGATGCTCAAACTGGTTTTCTGTTAGCTGCAATCACCTCCTGGAAATAAACATGCAATTTGTTAGATTTGTGCATTGGACAGTTAGGGAGTTTGATGCCCTTTTATGTGTTGTACTATGTCCTGTTAATTGCTATGATAGCCAATGTACCTGTATGAAGTAGGATCCTTGCCTCTCAACTCCAGATTTCAATTCAAGAAGGCCCCTTTATCTGTTCCCCTTTTTATCCATGTTCTGGTAGGCCCCTGCTTTCTATGCTGTTTTTCATGTTTTTCTAATGACAATACGATGATGGCACACACTGAATAATCTGTTTTGTCTTCACAATTGCCCATTCTTTTTGTCAAACAACTATACCATACAATTAACGATTGGGCAGCACACCTAGCTCAAAGGGATAAACAGTTGGCAACATGTGAAAGTGTGTCATCATCTTTTCAAAATTGCTGACCCAGACATTTTAAAATTAGGATGTTATACTGAGGCATCTGCATTGTAGGTGGGATAAGTTTGGTTTTTTTTTTTTTTAATTCTCTCAGTCTTGTGGGGACTAAAAAGGCCTCTTTAGCAAGCTCATTATGGGTTCAGCCAGGCCCACATTGGGGCTGCCAGATGGTGAGGGATGGGTCCCAACATATCTGAAAGGATCATTCCCGAAAAATTCCTGGGGATTTTTTGACGCGTTCAAATTTAATCCCAGGTGTCCCAGAGCAGTATGCTGCCATTGCTCGGCCATCTGGCCATTGACTTAGTTTGAGTGGGGATGTGAAGTTAGTCTTTAACTGTTATAAAAATATTTGCAAGTATATATTATTTTAAATTTATTTTGTTTTATCATAATTTCACAATGTCTACGAAAACCAGACAAATTAATAATTAATCCAGACCATGAATTTAAAAACTGGCCTGGTGACAATACTAGTTGCTAATCTCCCATGATGCAGCACTTTTTATGCCAGCAAATATTGTATAGTTTTGCAGCTGCTTCATGCCCACGTAGCTTAGCTAGAAAAAATTGCTTATGGGAAAAAAGGCGGGACTTTGGAACATGACTGAGCATATGCTAGCTCTTACTTCCTGTAGTTTGCAGTGGCTCTTACAAGACAGCAAACAAGCCATTTCAAGTACCAAAACTTACTTAGTGTTTTGCTCTTTCGTTGGAAATTGTAATTTACATTAAATAATAGATAACAGAATAATTTGATTACTGATTAATTAGAGGATTGAAATTCCTCAAGAAACCATTAACAACAGAGATTGAAGCTAACATTTTTAATCAACTTGTTCTTGAATACCCAGTACTAATTAGTAAGTAACTATGCTGTACAAGGTAAATTGGCAATGCTAGGTTACCTTATTCTCATTGTTGTCACAAGTTACCTCTGTTGCTTGTTCTTGAGAAGTTGATTCTCTTAAGCTCATTTAATTCCTGAAAGTTCTCAATTTGTAAAAGAATTCAATCTTCCCCTGGTTAATTCTAACAAAGACTAATAGTAACAAAGAATCTGTGTTTGTAGATCTTCTTGTCAAGTGATCTTTGTTTCTCTGACTATTCGAAAAACAATTTTGGATCTTCAGTTATTATGCTCTATGATGCTAATCACGCTGTTCTGAAGAATTTTTTTGTATTTAGGCAGGCTTTACAATATAAACTACTAGCTTTTGTTTGAATCTTTAAAGATTGCTTTCATGACATTTGTAGTTGGTCATCCTGAATTGTATGTAATAATAATTTCACATTTTATGTACAAATCTGAAGATAGATTGCAAGTAATGTCAATTTCAAATGAAAATTTTCAGTGAAATTTCAAATAAATTAATGAATTAATTTCTGTTAAATTTTATCTTTAATTGAGAAATCATTATATCAGTACAAATTGCTACATCTTCAAATCTGAAACTTTTTTTTATAAATACTGTATTTTATAGCTTAATATGCTATCATATTGATATTTTCTCACATTTTAAAATATGTTTGAATTTAATATAAATTTGTAGAAGATATTAATCATTTTTATGAAAACTATGTATTTGAATGTTTTCAGATGATGATGAACTTCAGCAAATTTTATTTGAAAGTGATGATGATGAAGATGGAAGTGTTCACAATGACAGTGATGGTGATTTATTATATGAAGCTGATATTGAAAGTGATGATGAAGAAATTGATTTATATTCTATTTCGGAAGAACTTTTTCAAAATGTTGCAGATACAAGTGCATCTACATCAACATTAACAGGATCTCCATTGTTGGAAAATCCATTTATTTCTTGGTCCTCAAACGTGGATAATAGTAAAATATTTTTGAGCAGCTTTGAGAATAATTCAGGTCCTGTACATAATCTACCGCCTGGTTCTCCTTGTCATTCTTATTTCAAATTGTTATTCACGGAAAATATGGCAGAAGACATTCGAATAAACACAAACAAATATGCAGAATTTGTTGCCAAAAGTACAGGTATAATTGATAAATTATGGACACCAATAAAATCAACATCAGAAATATGGGCTGTAATCTCAATTATTCTTATTATGGGTATAGTAAAATTGCCTGCAGTTCACTATTATTGGTCTAGCCATCCCGCGCTTGGGAACGAGATGATAAAGAAACTAATGCCACGAAATCGCTTTCAGAGAATACTCAAATATTTTCATTTATCTAACAGAGAAAAAGAATTGCCAAGAGAAAATCCTCAATTTAATTTGCTTCAAAAATTGGAGCCATTTATGTCTTTTCTGAAAGAAAATTATCAAATATATCTTTCTCCTCCTCAAAATCTTTTGATCTCTGAAGCACTGTTTAAGTACAAAGGGCGTTCAGGAGTAGTACAATATAAACCATTGAATATGGCAAAACATGGGCTGAAAATTTGGATGCTTTGCACATCAAATAATGAATATGTGTATAATTTTGAAGTATGCTTTGGGGGAAATGACACAATACCATGTAGTGGGAAAGGACAGGGTTATGATGTTGTAATGCAGTTGACACATGTTCTGCATCAACCATTTCATCATTTGTATTTCAATAGAGTTTTCTCAAGTATACAATTGATGATAGATCTGCTTGCAAAAAATATTTATGCCTGTGGAACGATATTTCCTAACAGAAGGTATCTTCCCACAACCTTAAAAGCATTAAAATGTAACCAAAATGAAATATTTGTTCAGCAATGCAAAGAATGTCCAAATTTACTATACTCAACTTGGTATGACAATAAACCCATAAACATAGTTTCTACTAATGAGAAAATGGGTATCACATACATGAAAAAAAGTAAAGGAGGGGAATTGAATATAGTACCTACTACATGCCCTACTGTTTATTCAAATTTTAATAAGTTTATGGGTGCATTTAATTTTGTTGATCAAAATAGAATATATAATATTTCAAGAAAATCAGCTAAGTGGTGGTTTTATCTATTTTGGTTTTTGTTGGATACCACCCTACAAAATGCTTATTATTTATATGTTTTGACCAATAATCCTTCGACAAAGAAAAGGATGGATGTCCGGCAGTTCAGACTTCAGGTCATCGATGGCCTGTCAAGAAATTTCAGCAGCCGCAAAAGAAGGGGTAGAGTTAGCGAAGTAATTGCACCAATTACCGAAGGAAATGTGCATCTGCATAAAAAGGTGAAAATCGATGGGCGAAAGAGAACGTGCGTACAGTGTCGGCGGCACAATCGTAAAACTATTTCGAATCGATGCATAGAAAGCTCTTGGGAATGTACTTATTGCAATGTCTGTTTATGTGCAAAATGCTTTGAACCATATCATCAAGAAAATATGTAATTTTGTCATTCCATAAAAAAAAAATTTAGTTTTAGAATTATAATTATAAAAATATTCTGTTTAATATTTCTGTTTATATTAAAAAAAATCTTCTGTTTATAATATAACTTGTTATAAATTGTAAATAAACTTATTTTATATAAAACTGTAAATAAATTCATTTTATATAACTCGTATTATGTTTTTATATAACTCTTGAAGATATTTAGCCAGAATTATAGCAGCTATTAATGTAAGAACTCTAAAATTTATCTAGTATAATATAGATAAAATTTTATCATCAAATGAAAAGTTGCTATAAACTTTTATGCATTAATTTTGAAATTTAAGATATAAATATTTTAGAGAGGATATCAATGTACTTAGGTCTTTTTTAGTTTCTTCCCTTTTCATTTGTGACTATTATCTTTTTGCACTTTTTTATGACTCATTCAGTCATATCATATTACAAATGATAGATCTCAGGTGATTTACATTACATGAAAACATCTAAATGATTATGGATAGTTAATCAATATGATTGAATGTAGTTTGTGTTGTTTTAATTTATTTCTATCAGAATGAATCATTTTAAGCAATATATTTGAATGGATCATTTGTTTAAAAAAAAAAAAAAACTGAAATAAATTTGATGTGTTTTTCAAAATAAATAAAATTAAAGTTCCATCCATTATTTTAATTTCGCTAATTATAATTAAATTTAACGAGAGTTCGAGCTATGAAAATGTAAAGTCTGTTTGAATATTTAATTTTATTACATAATAAATGAAGGAAAATTTATATCAATAAGTTTAAGGTTAATTCTTCAAAATTAAGATTTGTATAATATAACTTTGAATGTACAAAATGATCATAATATATAGTTTTATTTTGTTGTTTATTAGGAAAGATTTAATATAAAACTTTCTTAATTCGAAGTCTTGGTGTGGGGTATTTTGAAAGATCAGATGATAATGCTGACATTTAGACCCTTATAAACCAAATAATATGAATTTGATATGTACAAAATATTTGGCTAGTTGTGCTTTGTTCATTTATCTAAAGATTTTCACACATTTTGAAACTATAAATATTATAGTATATATCTACATATATATATATATATATATATGATTTATTGCAATGTGTGATTTTGTATATGAAAATAATCTGTCTTTCAGTTTTAATTGTGAATATTTCATATGGTATATATTGAATTTCTGTTTGAAATTATCATTAATTTGAAAATCAATAAATTAGAAAAAAATTTAATTTTGATATTTCACATTGCAATCAAAAAAAAAAAAATTAGAAAATGCAATTGTTTGATTTCAGATTTCATCTTATACTATTAAATAAGAAAAATGAAATTTTAACATTTCTTATAGACATTATTGCTAATTTACGTACCAACTACGTAACTTCTATGTGTATGTTCAATATGGAAAAACTAATTTGATAACTGCTAACTTTGAATTTATTACGGTTACTTTAAATAAAATGCTTAAAAAGTAAGTTATAAATATTGTGATTGATCTGTAACATAAAGTTCAGGTTTTAAAAGTATTGCTTTATCTAAATTGCCAATTAAAAAAAATGTGATTAACATGTGATTATGTCATTAGGGCCTCAATGTCTGCAAATCTGATAGCAGTTCTTTTGTTTGCTTGTATTGATGGCCACTATTTTTTTAAAATATAAATGTATTATAAGATTAATGTAATGCTAAATATTTATACAATATTAAATGATGAAATTTCTATATTTATGAAAAATTATAAATGTTGATTTGAAAATGGTGTAAAGGAAAAATTTATTATGATTATTAAAATAAATGATGAACATAATTAAAAATGAAATTCCTTTAATAAATTAAATATAATGAGCAGTAATAATAACTGTTTTACTAGTGTTAAATGTTAAATATCTGAATTGATTTTTCTGATTAAAATTTATTTTAACTGTAAAATCAATTTTAACATTTTAATACTTTTATCACTTTTATACATATAAAAAGTGAGGAACATTACCATAAATTCATAGAATTGTTTAATATTGAAATGTTTATTTTTGTATCTGATAAAATTACAGTTTTCTTTATAAATTTTACATTATTACTTCTTTCTTTAATTAATATTTCAAAATGTACAAATTACAAATTAAAATAAACTATAATAAAGTTAATTATTTTTTAACCAGTTTAATCAAATTTATTCACATCTTATATATTAATAATGTACAGTACTCATTTTATATTAATTTTAAATACTAGCTGGTTCTGTCATAGTAAGAGCACTATAAAAATTTTCAGATATTAAAATTTTACCAAAATTTTATATTTTATAGAGCTATCTTAATCTATAACACTTATATAACAGATTAAACTGTTTGACAAATACAAAATGACCTTGGTTTATTGAATTTTTTTTTTTTTAGATTATGACATGTTTTTATGGAAGAAATTCAATTATACAATACAAAATGACTGTGTATTATCATTTATGTGTATTTAATGGGTTTTAAAGGTAAATATGCATACTTGAACATATTTATACATCTCTGGAAGAAAAAACTTTCACAAGCCTGTTTGTTTTTACATTCTGAAACATATTCATAAGTTATATAAGTCAATATAAAAATATTTGCATATTAAACAACATAAGAAATGATCAAAATATTTGATTTTTTGCTAGTTTTCAGACTTCTGTAAAAGAGCTGTCCATAAATTACATAATGCAGATATGGCCAGGTAAGTGCACGACCATCTAAATACATAATGTTGGGTTCTCAAACCTTGGGCAACCATGATACATGTTTGCTTCTGAAGTGTTACATAGTGAACCATGCTTTTTGTATGTTATACACATGATTAATAAGGTAACGTAGCATTCTGTACCCGGTGCCATGTATCATTCCTTACTACAATCGAGTAATTTTGGGGTACATTTATGAAACAGCATTATGGAGCATTACAGAGGTTGAAAAGTGTACAGTCTGTAGATTTTTCTATGTTGGGATCATTCAGAAATTACATAACACTATTTTTATATATTTTACATGAAATAAACTCAATTTTTACTACTACTTGTTGTGATTTTTACTGTCAAGATTCCTTGAAAAATCAATTTATTTATATGAAATTTGAATAAATTATGCATTAATGTCATACACATGCCAGCTTCAAGAAGTTGGAAAAACTTATTTTAAAGTATAAAAATTAAACAAGTTTAAACCACATTCTTTTAGTCTGCTGTTAATATAAGCTATGAATAGGAAAATTATATAAATTTATATAGCTTCAGCTTAGTTTATCTGCTGTCAGAATTTATAATTGTAAAATGGCATTAAAATCATTGAAATTTTCCAGAATAAATAGTTTTCAGTGATTTATATCTTAATAAATATTTAAAAAACGAGTTTTATAATGCTTAAACAGTTTTAAATACGATTAAGAATTAAATAAAATCAAAGTTACTTACGTTGCGGTTTTCTTTTCATTAAATAAAGACGAAAAACATTACACAAGTACAATTAAAGATGGCGGATCTTTAGCAGACGATTTTAACCTCGTTACTCACTTCCGGTTATTTTTTTGGGCGCTTATTTTATAGCCCAAGGTTTTAAAAATATATATGTTATATATAATGAAAAATAATAATTTTAAATAAAAATAATTTAAAATAATATAACTTAACAAATTTTATTAATAGTTTCGTGAAATGTCTGAAGTACACGCGTTGAAACGTCATAATTTAAAGATCGTTTTTTTTTTTTAATTTTAAAAACGTATTTATTAAAAATATAAAATAATTGGTTTTCTAATTTCAAAAAAATTTTTCTAAATTAACAGCATTCGTATTTAAAATATTCACAAAATTCGATTTGATCCGTAACCAAGAATTTACTATGTATTATTGTGATAACGGGAAACATCGATATCATAAGGCCTAGTCATTTTCGGCCTTCTATCTTAATAAGAAATGGATGACGTTTGAGTTGCAGGATTTAAAGAATAATAAAATTAATTTAATACATTTTTTAATAATATTTAATAAACAAATTTTATAGTTTTTAATATATTCAATACATTAATGGCCATCCTGTATTTTTAAAGGATGCTGCAATCTATACGCAGATTTTGTATTTATGTAACAAAATAGTAAACAAAGCAGTAGTGTTTCTTTTTTAAAAAAATGTTTATTACAATCAAAAATATTAGAAAAATATGAAAGTTTGTGTACTTCAACAATGGCCGAAAGGCCGAGCGGCTTAGAGGGTAGCCTACCATTCTGGGGGATCTGGGGTCGATATGTTAGGCCCCGGCCTGTCCCTCTTCACCCGGCCTCCATTGTGGGTCTGGCTTGCTAAAAAGATTATCTTAATGCCCACAAGACAGAAAGAGTTGTAATTACATTTCCAATATGATTATTGTAAAAATAATGAAGCTTTTGAAGTGCATATTTTTAAAATGTATCTTTTAAAAAAAGAAATTCACAAAAAATTAATTTTGTAGTGTAATATTATAAAAATTTATAAGAATAAACATTCAGTAGTTAACGAATTATATATTACAAGGTAGATTATACAGATAAATGTAGGTTTATACAGGATACAACATTATATAAGCTACAGAATATAAAGGTAGATTATATAGGATATTTCATAAAACTGTTTAATACATTTCCTGAAAAAATATCAATTAAATAGTTCAGTTGTTACATGTTTTATTACAATTTAACTTTAATTTATGCACAAATAATAAATTCTTGGTATAGATAACATTGATTTCAAGTTTCAAATTCTTCCTCATTGATATCCATGCATCGTAGACATCCAGGAGGTGTTTAAAAAGTTTTTAGAAGATGAAAACAAAAAATGTTTACTCAATTTCTTTTTAAATAATGGCCGCTTACACTATACAACTCGTCTAAACCACTTACGAAAACACAAACCAACAGTTTTTAGATATAGAAGCCAAAGCTAAGTATTGATAAATATATACAGCCTGTTCTGAACGCTGAAATTGCGTTCTACGGAGTTGATTTATAAGTTTTGGAAATAAAAGGAAGTTATAGGGTGCCAGATCGAGTGAATACGGTGAATGGAGCAATAATGTTCTTGCTACTAAAAAATTCGATTGTTCGAGCAGCCGTGTATGCTAGTGCATTGTTCTCCTGATTTTGGACATTTGTTTCTCCATTTATTCTCATATCTTTGAAACACATTTTGTTGTATAGTATTCAGCAATCACTGTTCTGTTTTCAAGAAGAATTGTCGCTTTATTTTTGTTTTACAAAAATGTGGCCGCCATTTTTTATTAGCACATCTTCATTGGTGGCTTTTCATTATTGAAGCAGCAAACCTAGATTGACTCTTGATTTCTAAATCATAGAAATGTATCTTTGTTTCATTGTGTACTAAAAATTTAATATTAACTTTTAATTACATAACAGTTAGATTTTGGATATCTAAAACGTTTCTGAATGCCCTCCGTAAGTAATATGTAAATATTTTCTAAGAAACTCATGGAAATTGTTGATCTGTCTTTTCAATTGCTTGCCTTAACTCTAATGGTTTCATACATAAAAACTATGTTTAACTTTGAGTTTTGGCTATCGAAGTATGTACATATGTACACATTTTAACGAGATACTCTATATTAATTTGAATGTTTTGATAAAATAATATTTACATTAATCAACTGGAATAATTTACTATAGAAGAAACAACTAATAATGGACAAAAATTATTAAAGGTTTCTCCTAATCTTCATTTCAACTGTAGATAAAGAATTCTTCATTTCAGTCCAGCTAGTCCATGTCATGCCTTCGTTCTGATCTTTAACATATAGTCCATTTAAATTTGAAGTAAAGCAATTATTATACCACCAAGCACTCTTAAAAATTTTCGCACAATTCCAGATCGGATTTTGATCACCATCCCTGTCAAATGTGCTGAACTTCATTTCGTTATGGTATTTAGATAAGGCATCACCTTTATAATAAACAAAACAAATAAACAAATTTTTAGAACTTCAATTGATCATTCTATATTTATAATATTTGCAGCCTAGGAATATAATATAGGGCTTACTGTTAAATAAACATTAATTATGGCCGAGTGGCTAAAGTTGCCTACCGCTCTGGGGGACCCTGGTTCGAACTCCGGACGAGTCGAAAAAACCTCAGGAATGTTTTGGGAGGCAGTCTGTCCGGATATGTCGTGCCCGTCCCACATCACCAGCAGACACATTGTGGTGAGGCCCAACCTTGTTTGGTTATATCCATGCGTTAATGCTTGTATACAAGTAATAGCTATTCTGTTGACCCTGTGGCCTATGCCACCAGTGGCGGAATGGATAAAACCAAAAACATTGATCGTGGGTTCGTGTCTTGCCAACGGGCTAGTAACACCTAAATAGGGGCCAGTTTCCCATAAAAGCTTCCCCCTCGGCATATCACCCATGTTTATGCGAATAAAAACTAAACCCAATAGCTTATAATAAGAAGATATAAAACCAGCAGAATGTTATGAGGCTAGACAATGCATGGAGTCTACAGGCTAACTGCGTTCTATCGAAGCCAGTAGCCAGTGTATATCAGGAAATTTACTATAAGTACACAAGTACATGCCAGAATGCCGCTTGGCATGTACTTTTTCTTTTACATGCCAATTAATAAGTCTATGTCTATGCCTGTTTATAAATTGTAATTATGTTAACAATTAGTATTGTTTCCAAATTGTACAGATAATAACGAGAATAAATATAAACTGAAATTTAAATGATTCTCCACACTTTTTTATGTTTAAAAACGTTATTTTCAAGTTACTTCTATATATTTATCATATGTTAAGCATGAATTATAGTGTTAAAAATGCGTTTTACCTGCATCTCCGACGTATCCCGCTACATGCAACATATATGACTCAGTTTCGTTAGCAATCTTGAAATATTGATATTGAGCATAACCATGATTACCTTCAATGTCTTTCATGTCAATTCTAAGTGAATAATTTCCCTGGTTTGTTAGAGAATGAAGTTTGTTGTTGCCTAATAAATTTATACAAATGTTTAATTTTAATTGATTTAATTAATTCTTGAAGGATCCCCTTAAGAAAATAATATATATATATACATACCTAACCAAAAATCTTCATCTAGTTTACCGAATCCTTCTGAATAATTCTTCCAATTTCTAAAAAAGTAATCGAAAGGATGCCCAAAATTTCCTCTTCTCTGAAATACCTGTAATGTGTTTACATTTTAATAAATGTAAACTTTGTTTCCTGTACACGGTATCACAATTTATACACAATATTAAATGTATTATTATTGAAAATATTCTTTTAAATCTTAACTGACTGTCCATCCTCCTCCATCCGTCTCCATGTCACAATATACTTCAAACATATTTCTTCTATTCACTGGCAATATCTCGTATATTCCTGATATATTAAAATCTTTATTCTTAATATCATTACAATCGCTTGGTTTCATTAGATCTTCAGATTTCTGACCAACTTCTTTGTTCTCTTCGTAACCTTTACATCATATCAATTAGCGCATATAAAAATTATAGAAAAAAATATCGAAGAGTTAAGAAAATAACTTACGATAGCGATTTGCATCGACAACGTTTCTCAATTCGTAAGAAATCAGCATATTTTTGGCCAAAATATCTTCAGAAAATAGAATGGAAACGACGTACAGGAAGCAAACAAATCGCATGTTGATTAACATCAAAGGATGTTTAATTGAATGATCTGTTAAATGATGTAAACATTATTAAATTTGTAAATTTTATTAGTGAAATTTGATAAATATTTATAAATAAATATATTAAAGACGTAGAAAAATAAGGAAATATGAAGAGCGAGGATAAAGAAAGCATGATTGACATGGAAGGACTTATTATGCATAAAGAGAATTATGAAATAAATAACAGAAAAGAGATCAAAACGAAGGTAGAGTTTGATGAAAACAGAAATATCATGAGAAGGAAATTAGGAAGAAGAAAGAAGTAGATAAAAATGCAATGCCTAAACAGTGCAACGGGCTACGGTGGTATAAAGTGACTAAGCCCCCTAAAAATATAACAATGCCCACATACAGGGCCGAGCGGTTAGGTTACCTTGTTTTTTTGTTTGCTTGTTTGTTTTAGTTAAGTTACGGCGATCTGCCTAGGGGAATGCCTACCGGGAGGTATTTTTAACGGTAACTGGCCCTTATTCAGACGTTTATTTAGAGAAATATTTCCAGGATCTTTTTTATTCAATCAATATAACTTCTGAAAACATTTTGATTTGGAATTCAAATTCAAATGTGATATTGCTTCTTGTTGTTAATTAACGATACCATAATAGATACCCTGTTAAACATTATAATGAATCCGCTACCAATACAGAAGATCAGACTTTATTATAATTGAAATTAAGTTTTCAAATATTATTGGAATCAATTAAAATGTCGGCTATTTTACGACACTTAAAAATGTCACTGCATCTAATTTAGAACACATTTACCTTAAATTCTTCCTTTTAAAATTGTTTAAAGCTAACAGATGAAGGAGAAAAACATAGAAAATTTATTATAAGATGAAAATTAAAATTAAAAACTTACGTAACATTTGAAACATACAAAGAATACATTCAATGCAACAGCATCCTATTTACCTCCATTTTATTTTGAAAATGTAATCAGTCCATATGAATTAATGTAAGCTTTCTTATAAAAATTATTCTTATCTTTATCAGTTTCTTATCTTATCTTTATCGTACCTTTTTCATATTTCAATCAAATGAATTTGTCAGAAGGATAATTATCTTCAGGATATACGAGTGACGTTATTAATTTCCTCCTTCCGCATTAGTTCTATATCGCACTTAAAAAGGAAGATATATATTTTATCAGATTTACAATCCACATGAAAACAATAAAGTAAATTTTTTTTAATATTAATTATCGTATATATTCATCTATTACTAAAATTTACAACAATGATATATTTAAAATACATTCTATAAGATATCTGTTATAGTTTCTCACGACGTTTTCCTTATATCTGAGAAATTTTACAATTTTTGTAAGATGTAAGAGATATTCTGATGAAAGATCATCTGGAATAGTGAGTTACATGCTTTATGATGTATTATTAAGCAATGTAAGTGTTGGGTAATGTTTTATATAGGAGACATTGGAATAAATATTACAGAAGTATGTAGAACTTTGGGGTTTTTTATAATAATTATAAAATGAGATGTTTCATTATCGATCCAAGACTGCCAGATAAATGATTCTGCATACTTAATTATCAATATTTTCTTTTATTCAGTGGCGCATTATCCTATGGGCAAAAGGATAATTGCCTGGGATCCCCACTAACGGCGGTCACAAACCAGTGTTTTATAAGAAAATATTTTCACCCAAAAATTCCTCTGAAGTCAATACCATACGTGGGGTCCACGAATTCAAATTTGCCTGGTCCCCATGAAGATATAACATGCCACTGCTTCTATTGTAATAGGGAAACTTTTATCAAATGAATTTTTTCCTTTATCAGAAACCTCAGTGCAGGATACTTACCGTGTCAGAACATCCATAACTGAAAGCAGATAATGCTATATTTAACAGGGATTACAGGAAGTCTGAAACACTAGTCTGATGAGGAAAAATAAAATACAGGTATTTGCAAAGTGTAATTATTTATGACACGAATTTGTACTTTAGTTACCAGTTTCAGATAAAAGTGATGCTAACATTTGCTTCGAGCTCATGGTACAAAAGACAAAGAGTTACAGAATTTAGATCAGATAGGTTCCAACCTCAACTCATCTCTTTCATGCTCTGTTGATTGTCATATGGTCCCTGGCTATTTAAAAAAAATATCACTATCGTTTTTCTACGCAACCTTGGTATCGACTCTGCTTCTATTAATACATAGTACAGGAAATCCTCGTTAGTTTGAGATGAAATAATAGAGAGGTTGCGGCCGACGTTTTCATCGCGAAAACGTAAACGTCGGACGTTCAGCACCGCCATCCTGTAAGCCTAGAAGTTTGACAATGGCGTTTGGAAGGTCGAGCTTGATTCCATCAACGTTCCAAACGCCATTGTCAAACTTGCTGAACGTCCGACGTTTACGTTTTCGCGATAGCCGCAAACGTCGGCCGCAACCTCTCTAATTACGACTTGAGATTTACATATTTCTGTACAATATGTCGACTGTCATGTAACTGATGTAATTTATTAAGCAAACGGAATACGGTTAGGTATATACAACGCTATTTTCGTTAATTAATAATTAATAATAATAATAATAATATAAATAAACTTCAGGTAAACAGCACATTCCCGGCGAGAACATCACAGGATACTATATAGGTTTTACAAAAAGTAAAGCAGAATTCCTCGAAATGTAGCCCAAATTATATTTTAAGTGTCCCAGAAAGTAGTAAGTCGCCCAAATGTAGTAACTTAGAGACGTACAAATATCTCAATCTGCTAATCTTGTAGCCCAATCTTGCAAACTCAAAACCCATAAGATACTGTGGAAAAGAGGGTAGTCCACGGGTAAGATGACACCCGAAAATGTGTTACTGTAAAAACAAAGCCATATTGACCAGATTAGAACTGTTCTTGGTCTAGTGTTCTTTTATGGTATGGAGACACTTCCATCTAAACCAGTGGTTCTGAAACTTTTTTAGGATTTCTTGCGTGACGGTCTCTTTACAATTTTGTAGATTGCTCGTGGACCCTTCAAAAATTAACTACAATTAACATATAGACTACTGTTACCAAAATATTTTTTGACAATCAATTATTTATTCAGAAATCTTAGTCATCAAATGTACTGTACATTCAATGGGATGGGTGCATCTGCTTTGCCTGTAGTGACCCTTTCACGGTCCCCCTGAAACCGCTTCGTGGTCCTCTAGAGGACCGCGGATTCCAGTTTGAGAACCACTGATCTAAACGAACAAGTTAACATACGCATATTGCAGTTCGAATACTAACGATTTAAATAATTATGTAATAGCCCCCTAGAAACGAAACTTTTTAACTTGGGTAGATACATCGCGTTAGAATTGAAGTGAAACTGGAAAGAAAGTGACAATCATTGTACCTGTATTGGCAAAAGCCCGGACACCTGATTGCTACATGATTAGTTAGTTATTATAAGTATCGAGGTTATAAGTTATTTTCTTTACATTTTTTGACGATTTACCTTTTCCATTTACACTAAGAACAGGACTTAAACGTCGTGGGATTAACCGGAACGATATTTTTCCTATGCATCCTGAATAACTGCGAGTCTATAGTATTACAACACACGCATTTTCGACGAACTAACTTTTGCTCCATTCTGTTTAATGAGATAGAGCGTCAGCGAAGCCTCTTCTATGTTGCTTACAGATTTATGTTTTTCTCAAAATTTAATCGATCGATTTTAATTAAATTTTGCCATTTTCTATTAATTACGATGAAGAATCCGAAAGATGGGCTCCATAACTTCGTTTTTGACATACGATAAGGTCAAAACGACATTGTCCATGCTACCCCACGCCATTCAGAGCGCCTAATGAAATTTAGGGAGACACAAAAGAACATAGAGCAAAATTGCCGTGTTCTTGGATCATCCTTAGAAGTGAATGTTAAGTTCGGAAAAGTTCACAATAAAGTGGCTGAGTGACGAAAGAACGAAAAGAAAAACCCAAAAGATTCCTCAAGTTTTTCGATTGTCCTGAGTACCCCGAAGAGATATGCATTTTGATATGCATAACCTTTAACCATTTTGCCCATTTAGCCAGTAATAAAACTTCACGTTTCTTTGTAAAAAAACGTTTACGTAATATTGATAACACATGTTCATGTACACAGCATATATTATATAATATATATTATACAATATAGCCTATATACACTATCTAATATTAATACTAATTTAAAGTAAAAGTTTCTTATATAGATAAAATGTGAAGGTTTTACTTATTAAAACCTAAACATTTAAGCTGAAATTTTAAGATATATTCAATTTTAAAACTATCTCTTAACTTTATTATGTAATAATTTCTTAGAAAATTCAGTTTTTTTGATATCTTTATCAACAGCCGTTCTTGTCTTTCCTTTCGTTTTCCTATAAAAGTAATGCAGTACCTTTTGTAGTAAGGAAGTCCGAATTTAACTTCTCAACATGAAAGCAATGCACTACTACTTGTGTGCCTTGTTCGTGTTTTATTCAGAACAAGTTACAGGCGAAGAGCTTAACTCGTATATTAAGTTTAAACTGAAGATAATTGACGAAATTATTCACAATCGTAAGTTGTTTTTGTTCGTTTTTTTGATTTATTTTACAAAGTATTAATCGTTGCAAATGCAATTATTAGTCTTAGAACACTTATCAAAAGGAAACCATATTAAAATGACACCCAAATATGAAATTATTCCAAAAGTTGTTGCTAAATATAAGGATTGTACTGAGATAAAAAAAAGCGGGGTTAGTAAATCGGGCATTTACGAGATATGGCCTTTGAATGGCACAACTCAACTTAATTTCAATGTATATTGCGACATGGAAACTGACGGAGGAGGATGGACGGTAAGATAAGAAAATATGAAAATATTTAATAANTTTAATTTTGATATTTCACATTGCAATCAAAAAAAAAAAAATTAGAAAATGCAATTGTTTGATTTCAGATTTCATCTTATACTATTAAATAAGAAAAATGAAATTTTAACATTTCTTATAGACATTATTGCTAATTTACGTACCAACTACGTAACTTCTATGTGTATGTTCAATATGGAAAAACTAATTTGATAACTGCTAACTTTGAATTTATTACGGTTACTTTAAATAAAATGCTTAAAAAGTAAGTTATAAATATTGTGATTGATCTGTAACATAAAGTTCAGGTTTTAAAAGTATTGCTTTATCTAAATTGCCAATTAAAAAAAATGTGATTAACATGTGATTATGTCATTAGGGCCTCAATGTCTGCAAATCTGATAGCAGTTCTTTTGTTTGCTTGTATTGATGGCCACTATTTTTTTAAAATATAAATTAATTTTATTACATAATAAATGAAGGAAAATTTATATCAATAAGTTTAAGGTTAATTCTTCAAAATTAAGATTTGTATAATATAACTTTGAATGTACAAAATGATCATAATATATAGTTTTATTTTGTTGTTTATTAGGAAAGATTTAATATAAAACTTTCTTAATTCGAAGTCTTGGTGTGGGGTATTTTGAAAGATCAGATGATAATGCTGACATTTAGACCCTTATAAACCAAATAATATGAATTTGATATGTACAAAATATTTGGCTAGTTGTGCTTTGTTCATTTATCTAAAGATTTTCACACATTTTGAAACTATAAATATTATAGTATATATCTACATATATATATATATATATATA